CACATCAACCTTTGATTCAGTTCTTCATGACAGCCATGATAGGAAGTCTCAGCCAAAGATGCTCACAGGCAGAGATTGGTCAGATCATAGTCGCAGAAATGATTCATATTCTGGTCAAACAAGTAGCAGGAATTTACAAAAACAAGTCAGATTTTCAGAGTCGGTCAGGTCAAAAAGATATCCACTGACTCCTGAGTCTTCCTTCTCAGATAATGATGCAAGTGTTGAACATTTATATCGGTCTCCACAATACGCTAAATCAAATTTGGCTAACAGCTTTAACTATTCAGAAAAATCTGGGAAAGACAATTTACTTAAGTCTAGACATAAACAAGAGGAAAATTTTGATGAGTTTGAAAGTGATCATAGTACTTACTGCAACAGCTGTCGAGACAAGTTGGCTAGCCCAAAAAGGAATATTGCTCATTCAGATCAAAAGCTGCAAAGATTTAAACAGGAGATGCCGAGACTGGAGTCTTTGATTAATGGCTCAAGACAACTGGTTAAGATTACTGGACAGGAGTCTTACAGAAACAGTCTGTTGTACAGTCAGCAATATGATCCACCAACTCAGCCTCTTCCACAAGAAGAAGGCCATATGCTGGAGAGATACCTGGCCTATTTTAGTGCTGGAATGGAGGACATTCCAGTTGTGACCATTGGAAGAGTTCCATTTTCACTCAGCCGGGCCAGGCATGTGGGTGTTGCTGGGAAGGATCGTCAAGGTAGAAAGTTGTACCTGGATTGATGTCACTCTAGTATATCACCTGAGTGAGCTTGTTGCACACAAATGTTTCACTCTGGACTCTGTTTTGTTCAGTCACTGAATTAATGTATCTTGCATGAAAGTAATCTGCATTCTCTATATGTCTTTTACCGTTTCACACTCATCATTCATCATCATTATCCTGTTTGGTCATCATATGTCACATAGGGCTCTTCCATTCCATTCTGTCCTGTGCAATCTTTTTGATATCATGGATGGAATCCAGTCCAGTAGCTTTAGCCTGTCTCATTAATGTTCATTTTAGGTTTTCTTTTGGGGGCGTCCACACCTCCTTAGCTCCTTTATTTTTTTTTTTTGGTATTGCCTGTTTGGTTATTCTCTGCTTGTTTCTTCTCAGTATGTGTCCAATATAGCGCCTTCTACTTTGTTTTTTACCTGCTCTTACCAGTGGTTGTCCAGACATTTGTCTTATTTCTTCACCTCTCTTAATTTCAACCCATTTTATGTTCAAAAATTTTCTTCGGCATTTATTTTCAAATGCATTCAACTTTTATTCACCTTTTGACACTGGCAGACATTTTAACTCACTCACCTAGAATCAGTGCATGTTGTGTGAGTGTGCATTTCCAGTGAATGGTGACCATCACATCACATCTTCTCTATCTTTTTACATTTTGCTTGAGCACATTTCAGAAATCTTGCTTCGACAATGGTAATTTCTACAGTGTTTTTAGTTCCTAAAATAATTTTTTTTTTTTTTTTAGTTTGTGGTTTTTCACTGTGGTTATTTTCTTATTTTCTGTAGAAACTTCTAGCACTGGAAAAGTTCAGATTTAACTCATTTACAATTATTTAGACCAGCATGTCATACAAGGTGCTAATTAGGGCTTTGCGGAAAATGGATATGTTGGGCAGATAGGTGCAGATGTTGCAGCCTAGCTGCGAACTGCAACACAGTGTGCCAACCACGCATTAAAACCTGAATGCATAAGAAGAAGATTCGTTTAAATAATTACACATGCAAATGAGTTTATTTTGTACCAGTTTTTCTGTCTGTTACAATCCAAACTAAAATCTTCTATGAATATTTGTAGGCTGATTTTATGTAACACTCTGAAAGGTAATCAGTTTCTGTTAATTTTCTGTTCTGGCCACATTGCTTGTTTTCTGGCCACATTGCTTGTTTTTTGGTCACTTTGTGTTGGGTGCCATTTAAAATCACAGTGTATTGTTGTATAATGTAAATTTTAAAGCAAAAACATCAGACTGTGCAGAGATTATATCCAAGCAGGCCTTTAGATGTCCATGTTACTAACAATTCCTGGCTTTGTCTGTAAAAGTTTACAATTGGAAATATTGATCATTTGCCAATGATTGGCAACATGCAATAGTTATACCATTGTGGAAGAACAAAGGAAGCAAACGAGAATGCGGTCAATATCGAGGCATCTCTCTTTTAAGCCATGTTGGCAAAATATATGCCAATGAGAGAGGTGACTTCATGAAACCAAGATTTAATGGAAGGCTAATCCGGTCAACAAATGGCTGCAGAAGTTGGATGTGCTGGCTTAAAAGAGCAAATATCATAATCATGCTGCAAATGAGCACAATGAATTTACATCTTTGGATGAACACAGAAGAAGAACCAATATTTACTTTGTATGGCTCAGCCTCTCTACGGAGCAGCTGTCCACTTGCTGGGATCATCACTTAGAGCCAAAATTTCCAGAATTATCCAGAAAAGTTGCACACAATTAAAAAATGAAATGTAAGAATGAAGCTGTAACCTTCTTAGCATGAGGCAAGCAGCAGGACCACTTCACCATTGAGACTGAGACCCATGCAAGTGTTCATCAACTCTTGTCTTTTCCCTGTAAACTGTTCCTTATATCTGGTCAATGCTCTGTCTACGAAGGCTCAGGTGACTGGGTCACACCTGGAGAATGGAGGATGTCATCTGTAAAGATGGAAAGTTGCCAATCATTATATATGGTTCAAACATAATTAACATATTCTTATTTCTGTCGGTGCTGGGCGCTCAAAAAAAAAAAAAAGGAGTATGGCAGACTTGTCACAACTGCAGCTCATTCAGGTGTATTTTAGGTCATTAGTTTTGAGTACACAATAAATATTGAGCCCTGGCTTTTTTAAGGAACTTAAATTAGTTTACATTTCTTTTAACAGATGAGGCTCGGCCAGGTGATACAGGGGATGCACGGCCAGGTGATACAGGGGATGCACGGCCAGATAATTCAGATCAAGGTCAAAATGGAGCATTTATTCCAGTTGTTACCAGTTTGGAAAGCAACAACTCTTCCATGGAGAGTTCTTCCGACAAAAACAGCAAAGATGTGGATAAACAAATACTTTACTATGATGCATCTAAGGATGAGATTGTTCATCCACAGGATAATAAAATGCTTCATAAGGTATTGTCCCTGTTTGTTAGTTACAGATAAATAAAAATTGAGAGAAATGAACATAAGCCATCAACATGGTTGCCAGTTAAGACAATATTATGAGGGGCATTCAGAAAGTAATATCCCACATTTGTTCTCATGTAGACTATTTGTACCAAATATAAAATTCCTTGACAATATAACTTTTTCTTTTTAGTGTTCACTGGCTGTAAACTCCAACAGAAAGTTCTAGTTGTTTTTCCCACTTCTTGACTTTGTGTCTTGTTCTAGAATTAGAATTCTATGTGTACATCTATTGTACAGATCTGGCACATTTATATGTAGACAGTTGGATCCTCACCACTCAGGTAGATGCACTCTGACTTTGAAGGAAACACCCCTAAATTAATCACCCTTTAAAATATTTTTCTGGGGGTCAGTGGATCTATTCTAGAACTCACACAAGTAAAGTGTATCTCATGATGTTCTTGACACAGTATAATCATAGTTTTCTAAATAATATCCACCCACTTCTATGAGTTAACACCTACACAAAACCAGGATACGAATGTCTTGTCCTAATCAGGTTTTTCCTGTTTAGTAGCCATTTCTTCACAGTATCAAATTACCATTCTCATGTCCATCTTTCCACTTTCTGAAGCTTAAAATCTCTGAGCCCAGTGGCAAACTTTGCTCCTATCAACTGCACAACTTCAGTACACAGTGCACAAATGATTGTGTATATTTAATTACTTTTTCCTTTTCCCGAAATATTATGCAGGGGGGTAGATAAAACTGTCTTTACTGGCCATATTAACTTGGGGGGGGGGGGGGAGGAGCGGTGTATTTAAAACGAGAAGGTTGTCTGCCTGAGTATTGAAAACCACACGACGAGTGCAGTCACAGCAAACTGGGCAGGTTATGATTTTTATTTTGGTCCCTGACAAAACTATAAAATCTCCATTCCTTTCTGAGGATCGAATCTTGATCTCTAGCATGAGAGCCAAGCCTTTTAACTACTTGACCAGCCACGCCTTTGTTATAAAGACATCTACACACTTTTGAGTGTTATTTAAAATAGATATTTACAAAACTGTGACAGGGCACGACAGAGAGCAATATTATATGGATACAATGGTAACAGATCCAGAGGTCGACCATGCATATTATAGATAGAGAAATAGCAGAGACACTGAAAAAAAAATATATGTAAACCGAACAGAAATTATCATTCTAGAGATCTGTTCCTCCTCAGACACTGCAGGGCATTCAGGGAGTAGAAGAAATGTCTATGTTGTTCAACCCCACCAGGTGCCATACAACGAGTGACCAACGCCCGGTGACACAAAGTGGCACCATTTGGTTGAGGATCACCCGGGCACAAGTACCAGAACCCCATTTGACTGTTAGGTTGTATTAGGTGCCCCCAGCAACAGAGTGAGCCTTAAAATAACAAAAACAATTGCATCCAAAATTGTGATGGGATTTTTTTATATAATCACAGTAGAGGAAGAAGAAAAAAAAAGAAGGTAGATAGGTAGTTGTACCCCACCAAAAGTGATAAACACCTGGTGACACAAAGTGCCACCATGCAAATGAAGAGTGGTCCCAGAAATCCCTTTCAGCCATTGAGCCACATCTAAAGGCCAAAGCCATATTTATATTCCCCCGTCAAAAGCCAGGGCCCCTAGCAAAAACCAGAGCCCCTGGCAAAAGCCAGGATCGGCTTCAAACAAAAAATTGCATTCCACGAGGGGACGACTTATGTAATTACAAAAAAAAGAAGAAGAAGAAGAAGGGATGGTAAAATAATATTTACCATTTGTTTATTTAATTTTCCTGAGTACAGTTGCTGTTTGTTTATATAACCACAGCCTGATGCTGGTGAGATGGATGACTCTCAGGACGAGCACGGCCAAAGACTAGCAGGACCTGTTGTTATTGAGGTAGAGAAGGTCACAGCCTTTGACTCTAGTGACCTGGCAATGGGAGATATCAGTGAACATGATGTGTCTAAGGAAAAGACAACCATGATTCAAGTTGGCGAAGGGGAGGTAATTTTACATCTTTTCTTTCGAATCAATTTACAGCTAATGTATATGCATGTCAGAAACTAAGTATAGGATGTATTAAATATTCATACTTGATATGTATACCTTCTTACAGTTCCTACAATGAGGTTCTGGTCATCACATCTGTCTGTCAACAATCTTTTCTCTCGTGTACTGCCAATAATTTCTGGTTTGGATGTCCTCATAGCCTAGATGATTGTTGTGTGCTAACTGAGCTACCACTAGCCAGCACACTACCAAGTGTTCAGTATGTACAACTTTTGCTTCCTCTCTTAGAAACAGAACTTGACGACAATGACTCCGTCATACATTTTATTCAACAGGTTACATGACACAACTGCAGAGATGTAGCTATTGATCCCAATTGACATTCGCCCATAGTCCATTTAGTCAGCACTCTCAACTTGTAGTGGCCTTTCCTTGACCTTTACAGCTCCAAAGGCCTACAGTGTCCACAACTGTGGCACGCCCTACAGCTGAATAAGACGAATTCTCCTATCCACTAGACCTTGATATTTTTTCAGCAGACAACCACAGCTGAATGGAGACGGACTTCCCTGCCGTTCTCCAAAAGCACACAGCCCTCGTCAGCCTGTCGAAGGGCTCCGATGACCAACAGGACTTCTAACATAAGTCCCCTCAAGCACACAGCTCTCGTCGGCATCCCCCACTGTCCTGTTTCCGTAGTGACTCTACGTTTTCTTGCGTCGTCACCCAGAACAGTTACTATTGGAGCATCCCATCCCCTTGGACTTACTTCGCCAGCGGGACTATATCTTCGACCAGTACCGCAACCTCAACTCTTACTCAGGCCTTGATGCCTGATAGTTGTACGGTACTTTGTCTGTTATACTTGAGAGAGATAATCACTGACCCTGACTTGGTCTCTCTCTCTCTCTCTCTCTCTCGCTCTGACTCTCGACTCTGACTCCTCAGACTGACTCCTCAGCCTCAGTTTATCCCTGTCAAAATCATATAGATTACACGAGAGGCACTCTCATGTGAGCGTTCTCGGGAAACATGCTCATGTGGGTGTTCTTGAGACTCACGTCCAAGAGTGCGTTCTCGAGGATCACACTTATGTGAGTGGCTGATGTCACATGAGAATCCTGCTATCACGTAATACACTCTTCTCTCTGTGATTCTTATTATCCATGCTTGTCAGCCCCCACACAGTAACCCACGCATCTACTTTCTTGTGCGTGCCCGCTTCGTTCATGATAAGACATTTTCACTGGTCAACATTTTCTCCTTTCAAAACTCGGCCTATGTTGACACTATTCCCCCGTGAACTCCCAGAAAGTACTTGTATACCACTCTGCCCCTTCACACAATATCCCACTCTCCCAAATCAGCACGCAACAATGATGAAGGCGGTTGGTTAGGCTTGGGGCCAGGTCCTCCACTCTGTTGAAAATTATTTGCTACAGAAACTTTCAGGAAAGAATGCCTTTTTGCTAAATAAATGATCCTACTGGCGAGACATCAGCGTGGCTGCTTCAGGATACGTCAGTTGAATGATTTTGTGTAATTGTGTGATTTTGTTTGATTTATATATGTGCGTATAAAGGCTCTGTATCCTCAACATTCACTTTTGTTTGTATTTGATATATTGTGAAGCTCACTGATCTACTTTTCATTCCATTTTATATCTTTCCATGGTAAATAAATGGGTCAAGTGTTGCAGTGAGTGCATGTATGACAGTTGCGGATGAAAAACATAAGCCTGAAGAAAATTTTGAACATAAAATGGGATGAATTCAAGAGGAGTGAAGAAGTAAGGGAAAAATCTGGGCAACCATTAGTATCAACAGTTATAAGACGCAGAAGATGGCACTGCATTGGACACATCTTGGGAAGAGAAGGCGGAGAATCAACAAACGGGCACTAAAAGAACATGTCATGGATTTTTTATCCAGAATATTCAGGTTTGTAAGGTGATGAGCAGATCGATAAATTGGGTGGTGAGCTACTATATGATAAAGCCAGAAGTCCACACTTTACATGTGGCTGAGGCCCTGTTAGGGTAAATTTTCAGCCTCAATAATTTGAGACCGTTATTCAGAGGATAGCCATACGATTTATAACAAAAGTAAAGGAATATTATCACAATAACTCTTTCAGTCTTCGGGGGTTTAGCATCAGAGACTCAAAGGAAAGTAAAAAACAGATGTGAAGTCTGCAAATCTTGCATTTGTTGGGCTTCTAGGTAGGAATCTATGACCCATTCCTTGGGAGTGAAAGAATGAATATTCCAGGTATAAGTTATCGGTAGTCACAAAGTCTCTACATCCTTTGTTATTTTCCCACACAAAGCTTATTTCTTTCTTTTTCAATTGATGTGCTGCATAATTTGCATTTGTATTTTCCTGTTGATTTTGGGTGAGTGATCTAGTAATGCTGTCAGTACCTTGACAAAGAAGAATCGTCTTAAAGTCCATGCCATGTGGCGTTGGTGGTCATGTCTGTCCACAACCTTCTGTCTCGTGTACTTTCAGTCAACTATGGCACAGATGATCTTCCATGCCATAATGTCAGACTAGCTCGGATTTTTTCACTCGGTCTCCCTCTGCCTTATCTCCCCTCCAGTTTTCATACTGTTGTGATGTACTCAGGTTTTCTCCTTCCCATCACTTAACCAAACAATGTAGATTGTCTCTTTCTGATATGGGCAATCAGTTTTCTTTGAGAGTCAGTTTCTTTCAAGACGTCCTCATTACTGTTTTTATCTAACCAAGGTATTCTCATAATTCGTATATAAAATCACATCTTCACAGCTTCCAAATACGTTTTAACTATTTTATCAACTGTCCAAACAAGATTACTTCCAACAAATACACATATGTAGTATGTATGAATAAATTTGACTCTTGACACTCAATGTTTGAATGACATGCTTTTTTTTTTAAATTCTTATTTTTTTCTGTAAGCTCATTGCTATCTTTTATTTTGTTCTGTTAGTATGTTTCTGTGGGCAGAGAAGGACTTCTTCTTTCACCTTCCATCATGGCACAGTCTGAAGGTCAAGATGCCATGAGAGTTGCCTGGAGGATGGGCAATCAAACGGATTCTGAAAATAAGCTGCAGCTGTTTGTAGTCAACATTGTTGGGGCCAAGTTTTCCAGTGACATCAGCAGTGATATCAGGTAGTAGACTTCTTTTACTCCTCCTCCTTTCTTTCTCAGCCTCCTCCTCCTCCTCCTCTTCCTCCTCCTCCCCTCCTCCTCCCCTCCCCTCCTCCTCCTCCTCCTCCTCCCCCTCCCCTCCTCCTCCTCCCCCTCCTCCTCCTCCTCCTCCTTCTTCTTCACCTTCTCCTTCTCCTTCTTCTTCTTCTTCTTCTTTTCCTTCTTCTTCTTCTTCTTTTCCTTCTTCTTCTTTTCCTTCTTCTTCTTTTCTTCTTCTTCTTTTTCTTTTCCTTCTTCTTCTTTTCTATCTTCTTCTTCTTTTTTTTCTTTATTTTCTTCTTCTTTGTCTTCTTTATTTTCTTCTTTATTTTCTTCTTCTTCCTCCTTTCTTCTTCTTCTTCTTCTTCTTCTTCTTCTTCTTCTTCTTCTTCTTCTTCTTCTTCTTCTTCTTCTTCTTCTTCTTCTTCTTCTTTAGCTGTAAACTGTGGTGAAAAGTTATACTCGGTCATCCACATCTGAACTGTCATCTTGTTTCAGAACTTGTGTTTTGCATGCACATGCCATGCGCTCTGACAATCGTGGATTTATTTCAGGGCGGCATCATTCAGTTCACAAGTGTAGTTCTTACAGAGATCCCTGGGGATCATCACCGGAGCTACGCAGGTCATGCTCTGTGCAACACTCTTGGCTGGCAGCTAGCATTTCTCTGGAGAGAGACTGAGCCATATGGGATAAAATCTGATGCAATGAAGTCGATCCTCTCACCTTTACCTTTATCTTTGACACCCTGTAGACTTTTAGCACTTACAAGAACACCCACTGTCTTTCACATTAGTTCTTACTGCACTGGAGTTTCATTTGATGTGTCCAAAATAACTTATCTTTCTAATGGTTTTTTTACTTTCTGTAGAACTTTTTCATTGTAGTTTTTTCTAGAACTATTTTATAAATCTTTTTTTCCTTGTCCACGACACTTGCATATCTTCTGTCAAGGTTCTCAGTTCTGTCTCAGTGACCTCAATATATACCAGTGGTGTCCAACCTTTTTAAGCTTGTGCCCCCTCTGAGTATAGAGCAAGACCCTCACGCCCCGTCTTAAGTATATTGCAAGACCCTTATGCTCCCCTTGAGTATATAGCAGGACCCCACTCAATATAACAAAATGAGATTATAAAGAGGATATTAGATTCCACAACAAAGGAAACACACAATGCGGAGATACGTTATAGTCATAATGTGTTTTTAATTTACAATTAAACGTGTGTCATTATAATAATTAAATTTTAAACTGTAGATCTACAAATTGCTTACAACAACAACAATAACAACAAAAATTCCTTGGCTTTTTATTTTATAACAAGTTTTTAAAAAATATTTAATTTATAATTAAACTGAAAAAAAATAATATAACAGATTATTACAAATTCAAATGCACTCAATTTCAAAATTGCTTGACGTGCCCTTGAAACCTCCTTATGCCCCACTGCCCCTGTGGGGGTGCGCTCCTAAGTTGGAGACTACTGCTATATACATAAGTATAAAGATCACCACAGTCATAAATTTAAGTAATTCACTTTATTTTGTCCCTTGTGCTCTTTCGTGTGCATTGTTCTCTAAAGAAAAGACAAAAGAAAAAGCAATTCAGTTTTTCTTGTGCATTGTGCTCTGAAGAATAGGAATAGGCAAATTCAGTTTATCTTGGGCAGTGTATTCTGAAGAAAAAGCAAAATAATTCACAATTCAGTTTATCTTGTGCACTGTGCACTGAAGATAAAGGAAAGTCATTCAAAGCTTGTTTAATGTGTCTTATGTTATGTAATGTACAACAGGTATAATTTATGAAATGTTTAATGAGCATATTAATTCATAGTGGTTGTTTTATACATAACAGTGTTCTGTGAAACTTTGACAATAAATAACTCACAATAATTTATTAACTACAAGATTTATAAATGATTTTAATTTTCAAATATCTTAAATAATGATAATCTATGATTGATGCTGTTCTATAAATTTGTTTATAAATGGTGTTTGCATATAAATGTTTGTTTATAAATTGTGGCAGTTTATAAATGTTGATTTATAAATTACTATATTTAAAAGACTTTTTTTCTTGTTTCTGTTCTCCAGCTTTGAATGTAAAATGGTTGTTCTTTTGTTTATGTTCTCATGCTTTGAATGTAAAATGGTTGTTCTTTTGTTTATGTTCTCATGCTTTTAATGTAAAATGGTTGTTCTTGTTTATGTTCTCCAGCTTTGAATGTAAAATGGCTGTTCATGTTTCTGTTCTCCAGCTTTGAATGTAAAATGGTTGTTCTTGTTTATGTTCTCCAGCTTTGAATGTAAAATGGTTGTTCTTGTTTCTGCTCTCCAGCTTTGAATGTAAAATGGTTGAGAAGGATAAACAAGTACAGGGAGTTCAACACTGCTGGAATATTCAATGTGACCCTGAAAGAGTACAGCATGAGTGTGAGGTCAAAGGTCTTCTGCCAGAAGTTACCTACCGCGTGTATGTTGTTGCTAACTATGTCACGATGAAAGGGAGCAAACCCTGTGAGGCACAGACAACATCGTCTGTTCTCTACTACACAATTCAGGGACCACCTGGAAGTCCGAAACTCTGGATTGCAAAAGTTGACTTGTATTCTGTAAGTCAAGATTCTAGCAGTCATCATCATCATCATGTACCATGCCAGTGAGTGTAGGTTGTCCTGTTTCGCCATCTTACATGATCACCTGAGTTACGGAAGAGTTCAGTGTTATTGTCTAGATCCATCCATGTGGCCAGGCCATCCATGTATTTATTTCTTTGCCTTCCTCTGCTCTTTTTTCATCAATATTGTCAGTTGTCACCAGGTTGTCAAGTCCATTCCTTCTAATATGTCCAAAAAACAGTGACTGTCTTGTCTATGTTTAATTGTTCTGATAAGGTTGTGACTTTCTTTTGAGGAGTGCTTCATTTGTTTTTTCTATCCTTCCCTGATATTCTTTATATAATTCCCTCTCTGCTGTGAGTAATTTTATTTTTTTTAGCAATAAAGATGCCATAGTTATTTTGGGGAAATAGCATAAGGCCCATATTTCCATGACTGATCCGGAAAAGATATCTTACCCAAAAAACATAGAAGCAGTCAGCCTCCCATTATCACAACCACAAACAACAAGTGAATGCTGTGGCTAGACAGCCTTTATCAGCACATTACATGAATATACATTTACGTTACATAAATATATATTAACAAAACAAAAAAGTCATCTGTCGTCCCGATACAGGATGCAATTTTTCATTATTTTAAGGCCTCACCTTGGCTGTAGTCGGGGGCCCTAATGTAACCTAATGGTTGAACAGGGTTTCTGGGACCTCTTCCTGGGTGATCCTCATCTGCATGGTGGAACTTTGTGTCACCAGGTGTTTATCGCTTGGTGGATGTCCTGGAGAGGTTGAATCTCATTCATTCATACATTTACATTATAGGAAGTATAAATAATCTTGTATGGTGAGATACAAGAAATTAGATGCTCTTATGGAGGCCAGAAAAAAAAATAATAAAAGATGTGCTAAAGACACATCACTTGAAGCCTTTAATATAGACTCTGATATTTGGGAGGCTGCTGAATAAAAACCAAACAACATAGCAAATGTCTGTTTGAAAGAGGGGCAGCAACTTCTAAGGCTTCTAGAAAAAAGGCAGCTGAACAGCTCAGACAGGCTAGAAAGACCCGTGTAACAGGTCCTTTAACAACAACAGACACTGTTCCCTATCCTTATTGTCCTAGATCCTTCTAGGTAAGTATTGGGCATGTAAGTCACCTCCGGACTCACAGACAATCAATAAAGTTGCATGATCGATGAGGAACAACAACAAAACATAAATATACAATACCACAAATGCTTGTAAGAACGAGATTACACATAATCCCTTAACTGAAGTATCTCCTGGAGAAATCATGTATCTGGCTAGTTGAAGCTCTGATGTGTGTGTGACCGTCTTTTTTAACATCACCTTTTAGTTCAATTCTCCTTGGGTTTTTGGTCTGTCTTTATTTTCTTTGTCCTTGTCGATTCCATTGTAAAGCCCTTCTGGTTTTTTCAATGTGTCCTATTCAATGCAACTGTTGTTTCTTCACCTCTTTTTTCATTAGAATGTGTTTAGTTCTCTCCCATATAATTCGCTACTAAGTAGTCTGTGTACTGCAGGTGTGTGTATAATGTTCTTGATCTGTGTACTGCAGGTGTGTGTATAATGTTCTTGATCCATGTACTGCAGGCATGTGTATAATGTTCTTGATCTGTTAAATACAGGTGTGTGTATAATGTTTTTGATCTGTGTACTGCAGGCATGTGTATAATGTTCTTGATCTGTGTACTGCAGGCATGTGTATAATGTTCTTGATCTGTGTACTGCAGGCGTGTGTATAATGTTGTGTATTGATTTCTGTGTAATGCAGGCATGTGTATAATGTTCTCTTGTATGCAGGCATGTGTACTGCAGTGTACTGCTGTGTGTATAATGTTCTTGATCTGTGTACTGCAGGTGTGTGTATAATGTTCTTGATCTGTGTACTGCAGGCATGTGTATAATGTTCTTGATCTGTGTACTGCAGGCGTGTGTATAATGTTCTTGATCTGTGTACTGCAGGCATGTGTATAATGTTCTTGATCTGTGTACTGCAGGCATGTGTATAATGTTCTTGATCTGTGTAATGCAGGCATGTGTATAATGTTCTTGATCTGTGTACTGCAGGCATGTGTATAATGTTCTTGATCTGTGTACTGCAGGCATGTGTATAATGTTCTTGATGTGTGTACTGCAGGCGTGTGTATGATGTTCTTGATCTGTGTACTGCAGGCGTGTGTATAATGTTCTTAATCTGTGTACTGCAGGCGTGTGTGCAGTGGGATGGGCCAGCACTCAGCAGTGGACAGAAATTAAAAGGCTATCTGATTTTTGTCAATGGGAAACAGCTCGGTGACAAGCGCAGTCCAGATGTTCGAGAGATGGTTATTGAGAATTTGATCC